TTGCCAATGTTCTCTCTAATAAAAGTTTAATCTCCAACATTTACATGGAACTTACACAACTTAACAAAAGGAAGATAAACAACAAATCAAAAAATGGGCAAAGGACCTAAATAGACACTTTAGAAAGAGGACATTCAGAAAGCCAAGAGACGTATGAAAACATCCTCAAAGTCACTAGTTATCCGAGAGATGCAAATCAAAACAACAATGAGGTACCACCTCACACCTGCCAGAATGGCTATCATCAACAAATCAACAAACTGGTAAGTGCTGGCGAGGATGTGGAGAAAAAGGAACCCTTCTTCACTGCAGGAGGGAATGCAGACTGGTGCAGCCACTGTGGAAAACAGTATGGCGTTTCCTCAAAAAATTAAAAATGGAACTGCCATTTGACCTAGTAATATCACTTCTAGGAATATATCCCCCCAAAATAGAAACACCAATCAGAAAGGATATATGCACCCTTATGTTCACAGCAGCATAATTTACAATAGCTAAGATTGGGAAACAGCCTAAGTACCAATCAGCAGATGAGTGAATTAGGAAACGGTGGTACATCTGCACAATGGAATATTACACTGCTGTAAAAAAGGAGAAATTATTACCATTTGCAACAGCATGGATGGAACTGGAGAGCATTATGCTAAGTGAAATAATCCTGTCAGTGAAAGATAAATGCCACACAATCTCACTCATTTGTGGAATATAAAGAACATTATAAACCGATGAACAAAAATAGATACAGAGGCAAAGAAGCATCAAACAGACTGTCAAACTACAGTGGGAAGGCAGGGGAGAGTTGAGGGCAGGGTAAGAGATCAACAGAAGGACTTGTATACATAAGCATAAACAATGGACACAAGGTATTGGGGGAGGGGCGGTGAGGGCATGTGCTGGAGGATGGGAGGGAGGCCAGAGGGAGGTCAGTGGCGGGGGGGAGAGGAAAGGAGACATATGTACTACTATTTATAATACTTTAAAAAATAAAATTAAATTAAAAAAATAAAATATTTAGGAGTTCAGTTTTACATGTGTTAAGCAAACTTTGTGGGGAAGTCCTGGAATATAATTACTGTTGTTTCTCTGAGTATAAATTTTCAGATAGTATCTTGCAAATAAATTTCTGGAATATGGCCCATTCCAAGTTTCTGTAACTAGAACTTGACATTTTTATGACCAGCTCAAATATGGGAACCCCGTCTGGGGTTTCTATCCTTACCAGTCACTTTTCTGAATTCAATAACTAAGATTTAATAAACCCTTAACTTCTTGATTTCTTGAACTGATGGCGGTGGGGAAGGAGGGGTGGGTAAAGGATCCAAGAATCCTATTAATTTTTAATCACTAACAACAAATTGGAAGGACTAGATATCATTTAAAAAATAAAATTAACATTCATCTTAGACTCAGTTCCTTTGATCTCTACATTCTATCAATTCTACTTCTTATGTACATTTCTCTGCTGCTTCCCAAGACATTCTGGTGCAGTGAACGTTTTGTGCATTGCACAAAGGTGCTCCCTGGAGTGGAGAGGAGGTCTGAAGTCCAGCCCAGGTGCTGGACACTAAATGATCTGCGTGGGTATATGGCTGCATCAGCTTGAAGAGAGCGGGGAGGGGAACCTTTATTGTAATTTTTATCAATTACTGAATGTGCCAGATACAGGAACACTGCCTTAGCAACAGCCTCCTAAATACCTCCAGTCCTCACTGCCCTTTACCCCCACCCACCTTCCACACCAATCTCTCACCTCAAGTATCAGAGACTCAAATTCAGTAGGCTTGGGGTGAAGCCCAGAAGCTATATTTTGGACAATCCTGCTGGTTTAATTCTGATGTAGGTGGGCTAAGGATGACATTCTGCGGAGCCTCACCCCGAGCTGCAGCCAAATGGATCTTTCTAAAAACCAATCTGATTAAATCATGTCTTTCCTTAGACCACATGTGTCAAACACAAGGCCTGCGGGCCAAATCCGTCCCGCCAGGCCTTGCAATGTGGCCCGCACCGCGCTGTCATCACTGCACTCCGCTGCGTTTCCATCACAATGACAGTTTATGACTGTTCAGTAAAGCATTCGGCCCGCGATTTAGGCTGGATTTTAGATTTTGGCCCCTTCTCTGATTGAGTTCAACACCCCTACCTTAGACCCTTCAGTGCTTCGAGTTACTTACCGTATTTTTCGGACCATAAGACGCACCAGTTTTTAGAGAAGGGAAATGAAGAAAAAAAGATTCTGAAACAAATAGTGTCCTAAAATATTTTAAGTGCATTAAAACCCAACATCACAGTCATCAACACATGTAATCAACCCTGTAAAGTAAACAGCAGCATTTAGAACCATTTTAGAGCAGGGCAAGCACACAGAGACCACACAGAGCCGGGCAAGTAAAAAAAGTTTTTTTTAAAAGTATATGTGTAGGCTATATTTGGACCATAAGACGCAGGGACTTCCCCCCCCCCCCCCCCACTTCTGGGGGGAAAAAAGTGCGTCTTATGGTCCGAAAAATACGGTACATGGTAAAATCCAAGGTCTTTATCATGAAATACATCCCCTGAAGACCTATCTTTTCCCCTCGCCCCATGCCTCCCTACTTACCATCTGTACTCCCCAAGGTTTGGTCAGAACGGCCTGGTAGACCAGCCATTCTCTGAACACTTAGGTATTTTCCTGTCTCGTGCCTTGGCACCTGGTAGCTCCATTCCCTCTGCAGGTTACTACCAGCCCCAGCCCTCCTGGGGAGTTTCTCTTATCAGCCAACACTCCAGATCTCTATTCTAATCCATCAGGTGACTCTTCACAAAGCCCAGCTGGGATCCCCCAGGGAGAAAATAGATTTTAATCTGTTTTCCTGGGGCAGTGAGAGAGGAGTGGGTGGGCTGCTATAGTTAGGGTAGATATGGATTCCCTGAGGCAGCAGGTGCCTGGGAAACTCCCTGAATGTATCTGCATTTTCATTTTGTTTGAGTTTCATATGTTAATACAATCCATGGTGTCAATCAGTGTTTTATTTCTTTGTTTCTAAAATTATCTCATTCAATTAAGTGCCATCACTTACTTCTTTCTCAAAGGATTGTTGTCCAAAGGACATTCTTAGTTCCCTAGTACTGCTGTAACAAATTACCACTACTAGGATGGTATAAAACAACAGAACTTTATTCTCTCACAGAAGTAAAAAATTAAGGTGTTGGCAGGACTATGTTTAGAATCTTTCCTTGCCTCTTCCTATCTTCCAGTGGTGGCCAGCAGTCCTTGACATTCCTGGGCTGGCAGGTGCAACACCCCAATCTCTGCCTCCTCTGTTTCTATGTCTCTTCTCTCCTTCTAATAAGGAAGACCAGACACTAGGTTTAGGACCCACTCCAACTGAAAATGATGCTATCTCAACTTGATTACATCTGCAAAGATCTTATTCCCGAATAAGGTCACATTCATAGGTACTGGATTAGGACTTCAACATTTCTCTTTCGGGGGACACAAGTCAGCTCACAATGAGGACCTAATAAAATCATGCAGGTTGCCCTTTATACAATATGTTGAGTAAGCTTGGCTTTAAGTACTGACTCTATCACTGACTATCTTGGGCAAGTTTTGTAATGTCTGTGGGCCTCAATTTTCTCATTAGTAAACAGTATCACCCTCATTGGTCCATTGAATGGTTTGCAGTGAAATCACACATGCGGTATGTCATCTTGAGAAAAATTTAAAAATATATAATTCCTTTGCTTGACTCCTTTCCACCTCCCTGCAAATATATATAATTATTTTGACTGAAGAAGCATCGTGTCCCCCGATCATGGTTGAGTTAGGTGAGTTTGCTCTTCACTGATGTTTCAGAGATGCTCTCCTGGGCATGGAATCATGTTCCTGGATGATACCTGACCACCTGTGGTCCCAAAGCAGAGAGCTTTGGTCCTGTGCCCACCAAACTTCCTGGCCCCATGAGCTACAATCTCCCCCATCGTCTGAATAGCCCATCACTTTATGAATCTCTTGGGAATAGTAAGGGCTACCTTAGTAGCCTTGAAGCCCAATATTACATTTTCTCTTGGGTGAGAAATGTTATTTTACAAGTTGAAGACTTCCAGATGTGATCTTTTGCATTCTTCTGAAAGTTGACATAGCACTCAGACATAGTGGGAAGTGAATGAATACTTTTTAGTTGATTAACTGGTACAGAAACATACTCCAAATTTCATTAACACATACTTTTAACCATCAAGAAAATATTTTCAAGGTCAAAAAGTTGGAGAATTTCTTTAAATAAACTTAAATCTATTAGAATTAGAACTACGCATATACCTATAGAGAGTATGTTGTTTCTTTTCTTTTCTTTTCTTAAATATATTTTATTGATATTTTACAGAGAGGAAGAGAGAAGGATAGAGAGTTAGAAAGAAACATCGATGAGAGAGAATCATCAATCAGCTGCCTCTTGCACACCCGCTACTGGGGACGTGCCCGCAACCAAGGTACATGCCCTTAACTGGAATCAAACCCGGGACCTTTCAGTCCGCAGGCCGACACTCTATCCACTGAGCCAAACCAGTTTCAGTGGGAGTGTTTTGTTTCTTATAGAAAGATCTGCCCTAGCTCAGTTGGTTGGAGCATTGTCCTGCACACCAAGAGATGATGAGTTTGATTTCCTGTCAGGACATAGGCCTAGGTTACAGGTTTGATCCCTAGTCAGGGGTGGGTAAGGAGGGAAGCCAATCAATATTTCTCTTCCATGTCCATCTTTCTCTTTCTCTCTGTTTCTCCCCCCTTCCTCTCTCTTCCTTATTACTATTATTTTTTTTTAAATTTCTATTAAGTGCTTTACATTACTATCAATTATCTCACTCTTTTATCTCCCTTTTGAATTTATCTTGCTTTTGTAATTTTCAGTAGGTATTACATTGGAAAACAAAAAAAGAAACAAAGACAGATGATAGATTTAGAAAACTTCTTCCTGACGATTGAAGTCAATAATTCTTTTGACTGCCACTGCTAAACAGAGTTGGTCCTGAGAGTCTAGCATTGGTTAATGGGGAGAAGGGGACCTAGACAGGAAGTAGAAGGACCTTAATTGTATGAAACTAGTGGAAGTCCATGCCAGAATGGTGTGAGCTCTCCATTTTCCATTGAGAAAGCACACCATGTAATCAGGGACACACCCTTGCTGATCAATGCTTCATATCAGAAAATCTTTCTCAATATTTGGAAAACTTTGAACTTAGTAGACAGATCATCCTTGGTGGCCCTAAAGACATAAAACCAGGAATGTTGTCTACTGATTGTTGGCTGTCTTTCTGGGGCCACAGGTACCGCTGGAGGTGTGCAAGCTTATGGAGATGTTAAAGAGTCAGCAGAAGAAGCCTGTCAATTGCAGTCAAGCTGCAAGGCTGTAGAATTCCTTGAGTTACCAATTCTTGACTTGTGAATAATGAACAACTGGTTGGATATTTCCTTCTCCTAGTCTCACCTACTGCAGGTTACTCCAACCCTCATCTGTAATCATACTCATTTCCAGAAGACACATTGACTTGAGCCACCCAGAGGTGACATGAAAAGCTATCTGCCTTCATATTTCTTTTTCACAACCTTGATTCTTTCTAATATCTTTATAGACCTGGGACCAAACACCTATATAAAATGTTCCTACACTGGTTTAAAATTTTAGATTTTGTTTGTGTGCTAAAGTACATATAACATAAAATCTAGCATCTTAACCATTTTTAAGTGTACAGTTCAGTGGTATTAAGTACATTCGTACTGTTGTGCAACCATTACCACTATCCACCTCCAGACCTCTTTTCATCTTGAAAATGGAAACTTTATACTCATTAAATACTAACTCCCCATTGCCCTCCCCCACCAGCCCATGTCAAACACCATTTTTACTTTGTCTCTATGATTTTGACTATTCTGAATACCTCATATAAATGACATCATCAAGTATTTGTCTTTTCTCCTTTTTCTCTACCTTCCCAAACTCCATTTAATTAATCTAATATGATCTTTCTCATAAAAGAGGCCATTTTCCTTACCCTTCCCTTCTAGGGAAAAAATTTTAAACCCTGCCCTGCCACCTCTCTTCTCATCTTCATTCCATTTATAAACCTCTTATTTAAAAAAAAAAAAATGACAATGAAAAAAATTTTTTTTAAAGGTGACTGGGATAATTTCCTGATTCTTTCATAGAGATATGAGTGTCTGTGTGTAATTAACCATACAAAAGAACTACAAATGCCAACATCTAAAATCTAGGAAATTGCCCAAAGTTCTTTTCACAATGTCCATAAAAGTTTAAATTTAAATTTCTACTCATCTTAGTTAAAATTATTTCTGTTCAACATGAAATGTCTTTTAACTCACTTATATTGCTTTTTTCTTGGAGGCTAATTCTCAATATTCTAAAAATTGTGTTTTTCTTTTTATCCTATGGGAAATATGTAGATTTCAACTGTGTTACATATTAAAGAGGTGTTGGAGAACTAGAGTCTGTGAACCAAATCACAATATTTAATACTGTTCTCTAGGAAAGTGTTCTAGGTTCCACACAGCTCCTGAGAATTGAACTACTGGTATTTAAGCCATTTATAAACTGGAAACTGAGTGTGTATTATACACTTCCCACAGATTTCCATTAGCGATATATAACTGAAAGCTGTTGGCCAACTCAATGCCACAGGTCACACAGTGAACAATAAAAGCAGCAAACAACCAAGTCACAGCAGCCAGTATGTCATCCAGACCCCTTGCCAGAGTTCAAGACCCAGCTAGTGAATATACTAAACCTATAGATTCTATAAACTCTACATGACTTCAACCACCCATATAATTTTGGATGCATTTTCTTCCACTGCATGTTGAAGAAACATATGTTTCATTATGGCTTATGTCAGACTTTGAAAACCCCATGGCGAGAGCACTGAAGTTAAAAAGGATTTCCAAGACAATACGCCAGAGCTGCAAAAATATTCCTGGAGCAGAGGCTAACCAGCTAATTGTATTATTCAGTAGAAGCTACTTACAAGAGGGATATTAGAAACCATTACAGAACTGCAAAACAGAAACTCGAAACCCTTGCATAAAACACCAGTTTGGAGATAATACATTAGCTGAGGTCCAAAGAGTCCCACAGCTGGGACTGTTGGTCTATGAAGTTCGGATCTGAACATGGAAATGCAAATAGCAATTGAGATCAAGTTACTATCAGGGCAATAGCCACATTAATCAGCAGCCTCCTTTTTTTCCTCCCCAAAGGGCTGTGTAAGACTAGAGGCAGCCTGCCTTGGACTTGGAGATGTATCCCTTTGCAATTAATGGAGACAAAAGAAAGTGGCTTTTGTTGTCTCTCATTTGTTTGTTTGAGGCCTTACCTTTCGGGCCAAACCATTTATTACATAAAATATTAACTCCCTCTCTGAACTCTGAACATTTAGAGCCACTTCCACATTATTTGGCATTCAACGCTGCAGTCTCATGAATGCAAACTTGGCCTCCTCATTAGGATCATAAACAACTTAAAGGCAAGTAGTCAAAACCAGTTTGGCTCAGTGGATAGAGCGTCGGCCTGCAGACTGAAAGGTCCCAGGTTCAATTCCGGTCAAGGGCATGTACCTTGGTTGCGGGCACATCTCCAGTAGGGAGTGTGCAAGAGGCAGCTGATCGATGATTCTCTCTCATTGATGTTTCTAACTCTATCCCTCTCTCTTCCTCTCTGTAAAAAAATCAATAAAATATATTTAAAAAAATAAAATAAAGGCAAGTAAACTGACTTGCACTTCCTTAGAATTTCCCCTAACAACTACATACTGATACTGCTGGGCACAGAGTGGGCATCTGATAAACACAGTTGATTAACTCAAGGATAAGGTCTTCACATATCACGGGCATTGAAGCAATGCCAGCTCCACATGCCAATCTCAGCCCAACTTCCCAGGAAGAGTGCTGATGAAGAACATAAGCCTGGCAGTCACCAGGAGCCATATCAGAGTGGAGAAATCTTGAATCCTGTGCATGGGGGAGTGCTTACCAGCTGGGGACTGTAAGCTCCACGAGGATAGGAACTATGTTTTGTTCCCTACCCAGCACCCACCACCAAGCACCCAGATCCTAGTAGATGCTCAAAAAAAAATATACGAAATCAAGTTTTGTCTCTTTAGTCTCATGAGTCAGTGTTTGTACATCTTTTGTTTTGTTCATTCATCATTTATAACCAATCCACCAAAATTAAGGTAACGCCAGAAAACAAATCAACATGGCATCCACATGGTACACAGGGAGGTGTATACCTCTCCTGAGCCTGCCCAGGGTGTGTATATGTGTAGAGTGGTGTAGGGGAAGGCTGGAGAAAGGTCACTGGCCTGCTAGTCACAGGTCTGGGACTTGCTGTGTAGGGACAAGAGTTGCTCTCCTTAAGAGAAAAGGCCGGATGTCAGATCGAGGTCCTGGCAGCCCCAGTCAGTGGAATGCTGCTCAATGTGGTCCCTGTCTGGTTGGCAGCTTCCTGTCAGGGAAAGCTGCCAAGCAGGTTGTGACAGCTGTGCAGTGTGCTGACATTTCTGACCTGCCTGTCTGCTACTCGTGGGAAGCAGTTGAGAAGTTCTGATGTGGATGGACCTGATTTTCCATTGGCTTTCATTTTTCAAGAGAATGCCTAACTATCTCATCTTTTAAGATGGAAGTCATCAGAAGATGGCCTTTAGCACCAACCTACTAATTCTATGTAGAAAAAACTACAAGGTGAGGCAAATGTAAGTTTACAGTTATTCATATGGAAAATAATACCACAATTAATAAATAATGATACAAGAATAAACTCTGTGTTTTGTGTACTCACAGCTGTAAATCTACTTTTGCCTCTCCTGCTGCATATTTCCTCCTATTTCCAACCACTATTTTCACTGTGACCACACTTGTTTATGAACATCTTATCACAGTAACTGACATCTTTCATGGACTACCACTAGGAGATATCACCTGTTTGAATAATTAAAAAAAATTTTTTTAAAGATTGTTTTTTAACTATTTATTCTTTTGGAAAAAAAAAATCAAACTCTTAAGGCTTATTATCTAGAAGGTTTACACTTCAACTGATTTTGAAAAAAGACTGACTTTTTATATTCTCTTAAAGCAGTGACCTTTATTTAAAGTTGCTGATAAGTGAATTGAAATGTTTCATCAGGAGATGTATAGATGTTAACTTAGATTCCTTTTTGCACTCCAAGATCAAAAGTTAAAAGTGAAATTTCAGACATACCTTTCAGCATCATTCGTCCGGTGGATCCTCCAAAAGTGCTGAGAAGCCCACTTCTTGCTCCTAGAGATGTGGTTGCTTCCAGGAGGGAACCCGTGATGTACTGGGATATGGAGGTCCGCTGGAGGGTGACACGGTACTCACATACGGTGTCTCGGACACATTGCTTTAAGCAGGGACCAATGTTAATCCTTTCATAGGTTGTCCCAGGGGCTGGGAGCTTTGTGAAGAAATGGAGAAGAGATCCAATTGTATCTTCTGTTTCTTCTCCCCTTCTCACTGCATTGTAGATCTGTGAATAGCACAAAGTACAGGAAGTATTAATCTAGTTTCTTAGAAAAGCAAATTAACTTGTTGACAAAATGCCAAGATGACTTATTAAGAAAGAAGGTTCAGTCGCTCTAAGCACAAACACTTTTGAGCACTGGACTCATGTATTAACCTGAACATTCTACAGACACCATTTATTTGGGAAAGCTATGTGTAGTTATGAAATAGGCCATTCAAACAACTCTGCTATCAAACAGAGCGCTTACAAGTTGTACCAACCAAAAATATATCCAGCTCAAATTTCTTCTCCTCCTCAGCAGAACAAAGCTCTTCTGCAGAGGGATGATGCCAAACCTTTCCTTTTGGACCTTTTGGACTCTCCTAAGTGACTGTCCCATGTCTGTCTGCCTCCAAGAAATACTGCAACCTGACATTTATAAGGAATCAAACAGAAGTGAGAATGAGAGGGTCATGGGGAAGGAGCAATTCTATATTTCTCTCTTGGTCATAATCCTTCAGTCCATCAACTTGGATCAAAATCTTTGAATCCTTTTTTCCTTTTTCTAACTTCCTCATTTTCCACATCCAGTGAGTTGACAGATAATGCATATTCTTCCTGCTCTGTCTCTGCCATTATCCTGATTTCCTCTTCCTTTATAACATGAATTTACCAAGAATTATGTCAAGAAGATTAAACTATTAGAATATGTTCCCAACTATAATTCCAACCCATGCCAAAGCAATTGTTCAACATGCATTTATATAGATCCTGCTCTATGTCAGGCATAGCGTTGAAAGATGTAGGGCCTGGGCAAAGAGTAACACAGACCTCATATACTACAGGATTTCACAATCTGACTTAGAAGATGAGACCTGAAAATGATGAGGTTTAACATTATTGCAGGGAGGTTTTGGGTTTTGTCAAGGTCTCTGGGAAGCCAGAGACTTCTAGGTAGTATATAAGCAACAGGAAGAAACATAACATGAGAGTTAATCCAGGTAGAATAAAGGTAGATTATATTGTTGTTATTGTTTTTTATCATGCCACCTTGCCATGGCTGTCTTATTATTTATGCATCAAATCAATAAATAATCATCATGTGTTTATAGTACAGGTATATGTCAGCTTCTCCCCTCAGAGTTCACAGTCCAATGATACTCAAAAGAGCTCATAGTGGAGTGGAAACAGAAGTCACCTTATCCTGTGACTTCAATGAGTATCCAGGGAAGAGAAGATCCTCCAGTGCCCTCCAGGCCATGTGTGTGCCTCTATGATGCTACACATTACAAATCTCACCTTAACCAGGATACACAGGCCCTCAGAGGATCGTTGTTAAGCTGTGCTGCTAAGTCCTTAGGACTTTAGAATGTACCCAAAACACCCTTCTATGCGGATTATTCAAACTATGCGAATTCTGACTAGATTTCTACTCTGCTTTCCTCTGACTACTGGTATATACTTGTCACTTGAAGGCAAAGTGTGAATTCTTTGGCTTTAATTCTTTATCATTACAGTACAGCTATGGAGGTGGTGCACTAGGACAGAAGAGCTCAGCTTTGGCATCAGGTATATGGGGTTGTACACCTGATTCTACCTTGACCAGCTAGAGAGTTGGACATGAGCATGAGCAAGCTGACTTAACAGTTTAGAGACCTTTCTTCTTCTGAAAAATGGAGATGCTAAGGTCCCTTCTTATGAATGTTGTGGGTTTCACCAAGACAACAATGTAAAATGCTCAGCCCTGTATATAGGAATGGGGCACATTACTCCTGGGCAAGAAAAGAATGGATCCACTATTCTCAGGGAATAGCAGATGGTTGTGTAACAACAGAGCCTAGTCTACGAAATTCATTGTGATGGGGTTATACCCTTGCTCTTTTGTGCCACTGGATAATATCATCCTAACCTTATGTGAGCTGCAGAGCTCAAAGCATGCTTTTCTTCTCTCAACTCCAAATCACACAGGCAATCTCCAAGACAGTTGCAATGCAATAGAGAAGGGCCAACAAGTGCCTAATGTTGGGGGTCATAATGTGGTGGGCCATGAGCCAGATTTATCCAAAAGATCTGCTTCATCTGACACACTGTTTTAAAATCAGGACAGTTTACATACAAATAGGAAGTTACAGCATCTTCTGAAAAATGCAATATCTGACAACATTGAGTATTCCCATGTGGTGAGAAGGGCTTACATATGACATGAGTTCTCTAATAGGCTCCTATCATTCTCTAGTGATCATACCTGGGCAATATCTGGTAACCATTAGCATATGTGTTTGTGACCCTGGCCTGCATAGGATATGGACATGGCTGTAGATACATACAATAGACATGTACTGAGATCCTCTAACATGTCATCTATGTGCTCTTTCCTGGGCTAGCTGTCAAGGATACAGAGAAAGTCATGGTCTCTACTCTCAAGGAGCACTGTTGTTCACCTCCAACATATATAAATGCTAGGTACATATTAAGTAACCATTGAAGTATTGCTATCAGCCAGTTGTTTCCAAGTTTTCAAACTTGTCTGGCAAAATAAAAGATGAAGAATTCTAAGAATAAAGCTCTGAGCTTCCATCGCAAAGATCAGAAAAAGATTAGCAGGTCCCACAAAGATCAGGACTGTTGCATGCTAGTTATACAAATACTGGATGAGCTGAATTCAAGGTACTTGTTGGAAAAATGCTGAAATATGGATGAAGTGTGGTAGACATAACAATGCTCAGGGAACATATTAAAATCGGGCTGTAACCACTTATTAGATCACCCACTTTCTAAGAAAAAGAGGCAGACATGAAAAATTCCACATATACAGTGTGGAAAGAGGGGTCAGTATAGAACAGTGATTATGGGTGTGGCTCTGGGGCATTGGCTTGAATTCTAGCTCCCTGCTTTCCAGATGTGTCGCCTTGACAATTTACTTTGCCATTCTGTGCATCAGTTTCTTTTTCTCCAATGTGGGGATATCATCTTTTCTGCCTCATGAGGTAATGGTAAGAATTAAAAGCTTTGATAAATGTAATAGGATTAGAACAGTACCTGCCACTTAGTCAATACTCAACAAATATTGGTTTTTGTGATGATGGTAACGATGATTGTGGTAAAATACACACACACACACACACACACACACACACACACACACAAAATGGCCATACATTATTTCCTTCACTGATTCTGGGCTAGCCCTGGGATTTGCTTAATCAATGGGAGTTTAGCAAATGCGATACAAACAAAGTTCTGAAAAATACTTGTTCATTGACACATGCTCCCTCTTGCTGTTTCTGGAAATTTTGCAATAATGAACATGTGGAGAAGCCAGAGCTAGCACTCTGGAAGACAAGAGACCATAGTCTAATCACTTCTGTCACTTTGGCTGATAGTTTGCCAACAGTCAGACACTCAGTGAGGCCATCGTAGATCCTCAGATCATCCTATACCTAGCCAACTGCCATCATAGATACAGGAGAGAGCCCAGCAGAGATCAGGGGATTCAGACTAGGAGAACCACCCAGCCAATTCACAGAAACATGAGCTAAACAAATGACTGTCACTAAGTTCTGAGAGTGCTTCATTGCAAAGCAAAAGTTAATGGACATGATGATGTGGTGGGCAAATCGATAAGTGTTTACCTGCATGAGATTTAAATCCATACACTAAACCAAAGAGGCTGATTCATTTGGCAGATGGAGACAGCACAGAGAAGTGAAGAAATATAACCAATCTTAATAGCTAGGAAGATTCTGAGCCAGATTGACACCTAGGTTTGTCCAACTCTATCCGTTGCACAAACAGGGTCACACCAAAGCCCAAACAGTGGGATTCAGGAAAACATCATTATTTGGGAAAAGTTTTAAATGAAGTTTATATTGCTGTTGTTATTGTTTTTATTCGAGATAATTTCTTTCATGGTCACCCTAAATTACTTTTGAAAAATAGTCAAGTTATGATTAATGAATGACCAAGTGTTTCCTTATATGGAGATTTATAGGTTTAAATTACAAGGTTGAAACAATATATGAACTTTATCTCACTTGATTAATGTGGCAATAAAAGGTGCTGAAAACTAGACATACTAATACTGGGTCGTAGTATATATCTTGATATAAAAATCAACATGTCACAATGTGGCATCTAAGTTTGCTAAACAGTTATGTCCATTCATTCATTCCACAATAGATTTATATGTATTAAGCACATGTATTATGTCAAGCCCAATTACTGGGGATCCAATGGTGAACAAGAAAGCTTCATTTTAGTGGGGAAGGCAGTAAATAAGTGGACCAAATATTATAAGTTAAG